GAATGAAGTTGCTACGATCCGGAATGAAGTTGCTACGATCCGGAATGCACCATCCAAAGGGATGGTGAAAGGAGCTTTAACAGTAACTTCCAGCAAGGCTGTGTCTGAAGGGCAGGGAAATGGAATTGCTCCAATAGCTCTTGTCAAAGATGTAAGATGGTAGTCTGGGCTGAATGGGCTCCTTCCATTCTATACCTTTCAATTCTTCTATATTTATTATTCCCTCCCCAAAAGGTTGTGGATGAGGCATCCCCTAAAATTTAGGAGAATGATAATGGTCAAGTCAGACTTTGTCAGGGTAGGGCAGCAGGAGATGCTGGGATTTAAAGCGATTTAAGAAAATGTGGAACTCCCTAGCTGCAAGGGTGGTCAAGGCAGAAACCTCAACACTTAAAGTGCACCGAAGTGCTGTAATCTACAAGGCTATGGTATAAGTGCTGGAAAGTAAGATTATGCTGGATGGTTGGCATGGACATGATGGGAATGTCCTCCTACACTGATAGGCAAATCAGTGAGAATGACAGTGTAGGTCAGCCACAACTGAATCAAATGGTGAACACACTCGCAGGAATGAATGGCCAGGTTAATCACCTTCTTGCACAAACTCTTACACATATCCAGCTTCACAAGACACATTAAAAATTAGCAATGAAAGACAAATTTAACCATTTAAAGAGCAGCAGGCAACTCATACCTACAGAAGCAAATCAAAAAGGGCCTTATAACAAACACTGTATGACATGTTAGATGCTGTGCTGAATATTCCCAATTTAAACATAAATGAACGAGATTAAAACACACCATGGAGAGTACACCTCTTGATAAACTTTGCATCACTTCACTGAATTATCAGAAATTAAATCTGAAAATACAGCAGCTCCATTACTACCCATGGGATAAAGATGATCACTTTTCACAGTAAAAACAAATCCACAAGGTTAAAATGTGACGCCCTGAACAGGAGAGATCCACGTTGCTTTCCCCATCCTTTGCCAAGGGGCCAGCAGACCAACTATAACACTTGTAATGTCATCTTTAGTGATAACTGATTCAGCCTTGGAAGCTTTCCCATGCAGTTTGGTGTCATTTTGAGAAGGCTCGTGTGACGATGCATAGTAGAACCTTTGATCACGTTAAAGGTAAGAGGGGAAGGTAATTTGTTACGGACCCAAATGGTTCAGCTCCTCACTGAGCAGATCAGTGCCAGGCAAACTACCCAAGTTCCAAACAGGATGAACACTCCATCTTTACAAGTAGTCAACACTGCTGTTTTGACAAGGCACTAGATTTTCCTAAACATCAACACCAGGTTTAAGAAACTCATTCCAATAGCAACAATGACTTACTTGATTATTTTTGCTTATTCCAAGATCTCCAACTCATACCATTCAGCACGGAATTGGTAAAAACAACTTGGGGCAACACCAAATTTCCAAATCAACTCTGATAACTTGTGCAATCCTTTTCAAACTCCACGTAAAATTAGGTGGAAAGATAACCCACAACCCACAGTAAGAATCATGCTTCTCATTTCCTGGCAGAGTCAAAGAAGTAGAATAAGAGTCTACGTAGCAAATGACCAAATGGCAGCAAAAAACCTGTGCAGATGGTACTGCTGACATCACTTAGCTGCGGCAAAACTTTTATCGTCACATGCATATTACCAATTATTAGCTGTAGAGGAGTACCATGTCCAGGCACAGTAAGACTGATCTCACCTGGATTGGATGGATATGAAACTGGAGAGAAAAACACAGATTTCAGCTCATGCCTCCTCCTCTTCCTCCACCCAAGAAATGTTCAGTGTACTGCTCAGACTGGCAAAAGGTTGGAATGGTGTTCCAGAAGGTACAACGCTGGGACCACCGTCATTCACCATTTACATCCACATATTTGTTTCTGGCAGCTGTCAATCCCACTTTAAAGAGGCACTGCACAACAAGCTTGTGTTTCTGCATGTATGCAATCGCAGCACCATCTAGTGATGGTATTGACAATAAACAGCATTCAAGAGTTCTGTAGCCATTAATACACTACATTCTATCCCCTCTTCACAAACTACATTAAAATATTATAGACCTCGGGGCCAAATGGCCAATCTTGCTTCTATTTTCTAGATTTCTAAACAGTCCCAAATAAACAGACTTGAGCAAATTAGGAATTTGATTGAAAAATCAATATAAAAAGAAATCACCACCATATGTCCATATCAACTTCCATTTACAAAGCATTTGACAGTTAGTGCACAGGAGAATCCTCTTCTCTTCAATCTCAACAAACAGTACAGTTATTGAGTAAGAAGCTGAGATTTAGATTTTATGATTTTATGCAAGTTAGCCAGCCGATCTCAGCCAAGACACTTAGCTGTTCTACAAACCCAACCACAGAACAGGGAATCTAGCAGCTTCTGCAGTCACCATACTTTGTTGCCAGGAAAACAGTGACAGATGGGCAAAGAGTTACTAACATTGAGATGCAGAGACCAGCAAAGCAGAGAATGTGACAAACTCAGAAAGTCCTTTGTTCCCCTTACCCAAGTTTGAATAGTTGGCACCTTTCAGGAACTTGCCAGGGGTAATCAAACAATTTTCAAGATAGTTATCATAAAGCACAACATTATCCAGGCTTTGGAATCAGCACATTGCAGTGTGGGTAAGGGTGCATTTATCATTCACTTCCAGTTATTCTAGAATGTGGAGAATGGTTACCCTCCCAAACTCGACAGCAAGTAGTGGATGGAATAGCGCTAAAGCTCCCACAGACTGCAGAAAGTTATGGCATCTGTTCAAATAAGGGAAGTCAATTATCATATGGGCTGTTTCTTTCCCTCCATGATGGATATTACTTCCAGAAATCAAAAGCACGATATACCTTTAAATGGCCTCACTATCCTGCTGACTGAGTCGGTTTAAGCCTGAAGGGCAAAGCTGTCATATCAGGAATTTTAGCTGATCTGGGCACCAGAACACATTGCACAGGTGATCTTGTCCCCATGGAAAGTAACCTTAATCGTAATGCACAGCTCCATGTCTGTGCTGTGCTCAGTGGAACAGAAGGCTAACAAAATGGTCCATGCCTGGATAACCATCTGGGACAACGGCCCAGCAGAACTGTAAGGTCCAGTAAACTGTCCGAGAGCATAACGTGACACTAAAATCAACATCAAAGGACTACGTGCTGAGGATATACTGAAGCTTGAGGCAACTGCCGCCAAGGTGCAGTGGGGAAAGACCATCACCTAACGTCTTTCTGCCGAAGTACAATGAGGGCTCATTTAGTTATCAGACCCTCCCGGTGCCTCAACTGTATGTTAATAGTAAATAAAAACTGCGGATGCTGTAAATCAGAGACAAAACTCAGGGTCTCTGTAGAATGGTCACTTGACCTGAAACATTAACTCCGATTTCTCTCTCCAGACGCTGCCAGACCTGTGGAGCTTTTCCAGCAATTTCTATTTTTATATGTAAATAGTATCGCAAATAAGAAATAAATGCCTTGGGTTTCTTTGTTGGATAAAGCCAAACTCCAATGTCTGTTTGTCCATATACTACTATACAGAACTGAACCGCTTTAGTGACCATAGATGTATATAAATTTATTTTTTAAATGAATAAAGTATATTTTTGAAATAAAAAGAAATGGACCAGCAGAACCATATCATAGCCTTCGCTCAATGGGGGAATATGTAAGGTGTGATGAAAGCAATGCCAGTCATACCTCGGAACTACTCAGAAAAGGGATATCACAAGACTACCTGCACATAAGACATCAACAGCCACAGACAATAGACAGTATGAAGCTAAAACATTTGCAAGTATTTTAGCCAAAAGTGAATGGACAAGTGCAGCCAATTTTTCTCTTCCCTTAAGCCTATATCATCGCAAACTAGCATCCAAACAACTCAGTTGACTAATATTAATCAGCAACATATTCCTGACTGCACTAGATGCAATGAAGGTCTTGACAACGGCAGTAAAAAATCTGATATCTGTCCGAAGAGAAAAACTAGCTCCCAAAACAGGATAGACTTAGCCTGACCAGTTGCTGTGCTGTCAGCCATATTCAGTCGTCAGTTAAGCAAGTGGGAGCTACCAAAAACACCACGAAGCAACAGCTAATTGCCAATAACCTCGGGTGCTCTGTTCAGTTTCTTCTAGAAAGACTGCTCCAAGATTCAAATGCAGCCATGATGCAAATCTTTTATTAGGGGTAGAGAGAAGAAACTTCACCTTTTACGTGCAACATTTTACGGTACTAGGAGCCCCTAGTAAAACAAGACTCTACCTGAAAACTATCAAACAGTTGGAGTCGTAAATTAAGAACATAATTCTTTAAATTACTATCGCTATAATAGTTTCTTTAGGGATATTATCCTCAGCTGTCCCATCATAAAGGTCTGAATCAGGTTGTTAGTTAAGAATACCATTTATGTTAAATACACAATGGAAATTCATATTGTTATCTAATAACTTTCTTTTGCTAGCATTGTCTACATTAGTTGGAGTCTTGGCCCCAGTTTTGAAAACACATCTTTTACTCCCTTGTTAAACTATTGGGAAGACAAAACCTACCTGTAATCCTGCTCGCTGAGAACGGGAAACTGCTTTAGCCTTGGCCTTTCCCGAGTCCTTCCCAGCTTTCCCGCCAGCCTGCCAGAGAGAGAGAGAGAGAGAGAGAGAGAGAGAGAGAAAAGCAATACAGTTGAAATGTTTTCACATTGAAGTAATTAATGGCAAAGCTATGCTTCTATAAGTTTATAGGATACAATTGGGTTGTTCAAAAAATAAACTATGATTTAACTTCCAACAGAAATGTCTGCAGTTGGTCATCACAAAGCAATGCTAATATGTTCTAGCGCTATATTAGACCATATTATAAATGTCTGATGACTGTTAATTTATATTTCATATATTTTGTGTTGAAACTTTTTTTTGAGAACTAGATGTTTGTGTTTCAACAAAAGAGACAAATACACTTTAATTCTCACTAGAGATCACACAAGACAGAGTCAACATCTTTAGCTGAAACAGCAGCCAGGATTTCAGAATTAAGCTGGAAAAGTAATTTTATAAACAGCTGCATTTTTATTTGTACCAGTCAAGTTTTTAACAAATTACAGAAAAACAAAACTCTAAAATCCCAATCAAGGTATACTGAACACCTGTTAAGTATGCAACTGCAGGCACTTCACAATTGGAGATACTGGTCCACTCTTCCAAATATAGTAAAGTATTCAAGAAATTCAGGAAACAAAATGTATCGGCAAAGAACTTTTAAGACAATGAGCCTACTTGCAACACACTGGAATTTGTGATTTCTAATCCTACTTAGCATTGTTTTGGTCATGATGCACATCTCTCAAGATTAACTAAAACGTTTGGATTTGTACATCTGCCTCAAAACACAGCAATGTGAGCACCTTAGCTCCAAATTTAAGTTTGGTTTGGCTTAGCATAATCAAAACCTGAAATTGGATACGTAAATATGCCAACCTAAAACACATCACATTTCTATTGTATCTACTGTTAACTGTCAAGATAAAGCACTTGGTTTTTTTGGACAAGAATATATTGACAACTAAGGAGAGACAGTTCAGTGACAGAATTACCCAGCCCAAGTACCACAATATAATCTTAACTTTGATTTGCTGCTACCACCTGAGACAACAGATGCAACTGAAATATCACCAACAAAATCGATGTGATTCAGCCCAAAACCAGACAACTACACCTTTCACCCAGGCAATGTTAACCCTTCTTCTAGACAGTGATTCCCAAATGTTTTGCCCCACTATAATCTACCCTCAAGGCCTGTGATGGTTGCGTGCTTTGGGGTGGGGGGATTACTTCAGGACCCCAGCTCACATCCAAGACTTTGGGAATCTCTGCCCTCAATCACAACTGCAAGTAAAACTTATCCAAGGTTTATACTATAAAACTGCAAACTGGACAGTGCTTATGGCCAGGAATTCAATTTACCTGCTCAGATACATAAACATACAAAGATAATAAATGCGATTTCTCATGAATTCAGAAAGTGAATGTAGCTCTGAAAAACTACGCAAAGGTACTTTGACAAAATTCAAATCACTTGGTTACATTCTGTCACAGTACACATTTTAGGTATTGAATATGAGGTCAATCTCATCTAGAAATACAGTGCTCTTGAAACTTAATTCAAACAAAATAAATTCCTATTTCATGATATTGCTTGGTTTAACTGTCTGTGCACTTCAAACATTAAAGCACATTAACAGTTCAAATTGGTCATACATCATAAAAGCTTTTATATAACTCTCTATACCACAGATCTCAAACTAGGCTGGACCAAGTAAAATTTCCAATCAATCCTTGCAAAGGAGAAATTAAAATTAGGTTCAATTTTCCCTAAAGGAGTTTGCCAGTGATTAAGCAAAACACTACAAGGCAATTTTGTAACTAAACTAACCTGGGTGGCTTCCACAGTTTGATTTATTTTAAAAGTTGCACTGATGTTCAAAGGAAAAAAAAAACACAAGTTTAAAATTGTTTGAATTATAAAATCGAGACTTCTGGACAACATTCAATCTCAAAGCTCCAAGATGGTTTTCTTGTATTTAGTCCTGATGAGTACAAGACAATAATCTTCGACTTAAGCAATGTTTAAGTTCTGTACTATCAATTACTTATACGCACCAATGCAAAATGAAAAGAACAACCCAACTGATAAACTGCAAACTTAATCAGCTGCCATGAAATTCTGGGACAAATATATTGTAAACAAGGCAGTATCAGTACTATGGAAAAAGTGGATTAAATAGATGAAAAACATGCATTTTTTAGGGGGGGGAAGGGAGGGGGGGCTAGATGAGCAAGAAGGGGTAAAACAGAGAGGAGGAGAAGGTAGGTCAGAGAGTGGGCGACGTCAGAGGCAGAGAAACCCTGCAGGGCCATGGAGACACAAAAAAAAGGAGGGAAAAAAGAGAGCAGAAAAAAAAAATCACGTTACCATGAACGCAAATAAATAAGGAGGGGGTGGTAGAGAGGAAAAAAAGACAACTCATAAGAGGAAAACTTCAGAATAGGAAGAGAAGTAATAGAAAATAAAATCAGAATCAATTCCAAAATTAAATAAATACGTGGGGGATTGGAGGTGAAAAGAAGAGGGACTGGTGAAAGTAGCAAATTATGATGGTTCAGGGGCAACATAACCCATCATACACACAAGATATATAAACATATCACTTATAATGCATCACAAACACCAGGAATCTAACTGATAGTTGACAGTTATCATGATAGTTATGATCAGAGACATGGGTGCGGGAGGAGGGGATGGCAGGGGAGAAAAAACTATCACATCCAAACATTTATATATATATATATATATATATAAAATAAATATACATATCAAACCTAACTGATAAATTATGATAGTTATGATCACGAAGAGGAGAGGGAATTTGAAGATTTTCCACAAACACAGAAACATACCTAAAAACCATTACACAGACACACACCAATATAAAAATCTGAATGGATATTTATAATGATTGTTATGATCAGAGATGGGTGTGGGGGGTTCCTACACACACATACACAAACATATTAACTATCACACACTCTCTCTCACATACACATATAATAATTGATAATTTATGTTCGTTATGATCAGGAAGAGGAAACACGATTGAAGATTTCACACAGATCTCTCACAAACCATCACAAAAACACACACAAATATACATGGAACTTAACTGATAAATTATTATAGTTATGTCAAGATATATGTAATAAAATGCCTCAAATCAAAGATAATTATGATAGTTAGGATGAAGGGGAGATATATTTATTTATTAAATGCATCAAATCTGAATGATAGTTATATCAAGAGGAGAGATTTATACAGATGCATCAAAACTGAAAGACAGTAATAGCTACGATCAGGATATAAACACACACACACATACATAAAATACATAAAATCTGAAAGACATTGATAGCTATGATCGGGGGTCGGGGGGGGGGGGGGGGGAGGTTGAAGATTTTCCACACACACATAGAAAAACATAAACATGTCTCATACACACCATCACAAACACACATCCATAACATGTCTACAAACGCATCAAAGGACATTCGAATCTGAACGGCGGGTGACAATGATGATAGTTACGATGAGGGAGGTTGAAGATTTTCCACACACGGCGCCTGTCAAAAAGGCGCCATCCGCCGAGGTTTGTTTTTTTTTTGGGGAGGGGGGGCGTAAGTGAGAGAGGGAGGAAAATGCCCGCCCGCGGGGGGGGGGGGGGAAGGGCCGAATAATGGCGGCAGGCGAGATACGGGGAGCAGGAGCCTTGTTTTCGCCGTTATCAGAGACCGTGTGGGAGGGGGTGGTGGGATAGTGCCCGGTTCAGGATGGAGTCACTCACCATGTTCCGCTGTTTTCTCTCTCTCTCTCTGACTGACTGCCCTCTCCCTCTCACTCAAACAATAACCGACACCCGCGCGCGCGCGGCGGCCCCCGCCGACATCCGGGCAACCCCGCCGCTCGCCGGCCAATCGCCGCCCCCCTCACTCATTCAAACCCCGGCCTCCCTCCAATCGCCATCCGCCTTCTTCCCACGTCCGCTTCTCGCCTCCGTCCGTCAACGGCTTTTTTTTCGGCCCCCGCCCCTCAACAATCCTTCGACGCCACTATCTCCCGCCTTTTACGTTTGAGAGGGAGATTCCTTCCCCTTCAGCCCTTCCATAACCTTTCCTTCGGCGGTTTATATATATATTTTTAACAAAGTTTGGCCTCCGAGAGAGGAGATGAAAAATTGTTTGTACGCCTTAAAAGAGGACGGCCAATCGCCAGCGGTGCTTCCCAGGCTCGTCCCGCCCCTCCTCGGTATTTTTTCGCGCTGTTTTTTTTATATTCACTCCCCTGTCGGTTTGCCGCTCAGTCAATCGATGCGTCATTGTTTGGCCGGTTTCTCACTAAGCTGCCGACAGCAAAGTTTCATTATACAATCCATAGTTGTGGGGGCACGGTGGAGGAAGGAGGCGTCCATGTGATCGACAGCCCCAGTAGCCAATCGGGGCTTCGTGCTCTTTGATGGACGGTCATACTGCCCACTCGAAACGAGGGGCGGTGCGATTGATGTTTGACATGTCCACTCAGGTCTGAGAGGTGGTATGATTGACGTCTGGGTTGTCCATACAAGAGAGAGGGGCGGGATGATTGCTTTGTTACGGCACCAAGTCGGATGAACAGTTAATATGATTGACGGCCGCCTTTCCAATTAGAATGATGGACGTAATGATTGATGGTAGTCCCTCCCAATCAGAGCGAGAGGCGGTGTAATAAACAACATCCGTCTAATCCAATCAATGGTTGCTATCGTTAACGGCTTATCTCGCCAATCAATACTTGGTGCGATATGATTGACGGACCTCCCGAACAATCAGAACGAGAGGCGGTTCTAACTATGGCCTGTCTGCTCGCTGAGTGGTCGCTGTCTTCCCTGATTGACAGCGGCCATTCCCCAGGAAGCATCCTCTAGATTCCGCCCAAAGTATTAGCCTGCAGTTAGCAACAGCGACCACGGGGAGACCGACAGCAGTATCCACCAATCCGAAAAGGGAAAGCAATATTCAGGCACAGTTTGAATCTGAGTTTGAAAAACAACAACATATGTTTCCTTACAATTACTTGTGCTGTGTTGTGCTTTGCAACCTTATAAAATATGCTCTGGTTAACTCTGGAGGATGACACCAACCCCTACAAATTGCACCCTACTAAAGTATTAAATGAATGCCAAGCAATGAATTATCCTGTTGGTATTTGCAGTAACCTCATGGTCACAGAGTAAACAGGTGGTCCCCTCCACAAGTGGTCTCTGAGACAGGTTGCACCATATGCTTTCCCCAGTTGGGGAGCTCCACGTTAAGATTAAGCTGCGGTGGGATTTTTGTTTTTGAGTTTTTTTCAAAATAACGCTGCAACCACCTCCATTTCCGAAGGGTCACACTTGATTTGAAGAACGTTACCTTGTTCTCATTTTTCATCCTTCGCTTTTTATAGTACCTTTGTGTATATATTGACCTTCTGCAGAACTGGCTGTGGTCGCAGTTTTGAAAGTGTCGAAAAGAATAAGTATGGGGGGTGGGTTTCGACTGCTAACATCTTGATGTTGGGCACAGCGGCGGCAGAGAAGGTGAGGAAAGGAAGCCAAACTTGCAGTCTGGAATCTAGTACTATTTACCCTCAAGATCTGTAGGTTGAGAATCAGCCTGTCCAGTTACATGGAGATGAGCAACAGAGACCTGCAGCTCTGAGTAGGTGTCATCCTCGAACTGAGGACCAGGTCATTGGCCTCCTACTGTGACTTTATGACTCTACCAAAAAGCTTCCTGAACCAGCCCTTGAATTGCCCGAATTTATTTCCAAACATTTTCTCTTCTTTTGCATTGTGGAACTCTTTCTTTGCACTTTTCCTTGTGAGCCCCTTTTTTAAAATTTTAAACGTTGTTAGTCTTGCTTCAAACTCCCATTCTCTATGCTGTCTCATTGGCTTGCACCCAGCATGATGTGAATTCAGTAATCAGAGATAAATGCCCCAGTCTTGAATTCCCTGGAACTTTCTAGAGTAGGTCATAAAGTCATAGAGTCAGAGAGATATACGGCACGGAAACAGACCCTTAGGTCCAACTCGTCCATGCTGACCAAATATCCTAAAATAATCTAGTCCCGTTTGCCAACATTTGGCCCATATCCCTCTGAACCCTTCATATTCATATACCCATCCAGATACCTTTTAAATGTTGTAATTGTACCAGCCTACATCACTTCCTCCGGCAGCTCATTCCATACATCCACTCCCCTCTGTGTGAAAAAGTTTCCCGGTAAATCTTTTAAATCTTTCCCTTCTCACTTTAAATCTATGCCCTCTAGTTTTGGACTCCCACACCCTACAGAAAAGACCTTGTCTATTTACCCTCACCATGCCCCTCATGATTTTATAAACATCTGTAAGGTCACCCCTCAGCCTCCAACACTCCAGGGAAAATAGCCCCAGTCTATTCAGCCTCTCCCTATAGCTCAAACCCGCCAACCCTGGCAACATCCTTGTAAACTTTTTCTGAACCCTTTCAAGTTTCACAACATCTTTCCTATATCAGGGAGACCAGAATTGCAAGCAGTATTTAAATAGAGACCAACCAATGTCCTATACAGCCGCAACATGACCTCCCAACTCCTATACTCAATGCACTGACCAATAAAGGCAGGCCTACCAAATGCCGTCTTCACCGCCCTGTCTACTGTGACTCCACTTTCAAGGAACAATGAACCTGCACTCCAATGTCTTTTTGTTCGGCAACACTCCCCAGGACCTTAACTATTAAGTTTATAAGTCCTGGAGATAGCAGGAACTGCAGATGCTGGCGAATCTGAGATAACAAGGTGTAGAGCTGGATGAACACAGCAGGCCAAGCAGCATCAGAGGAGCAGGAAGGCCGACGCTTCGGGCCTAGACCCTTCTTCAGAAATGATTTCTGAAGAAGGGTCT